ACAGGCAGTGGTGGTGCACACCTTCAATCCCAGCACTCAGGAAGCAGAAACAGGTGGGTCTCTGTAAGTTTGAGGTGAGCCTGGTCTACAGAATGGTTCTAGGACAGCCAGGACTACATAGAGAGACCCTGTCTCAATAAACAAGAAGAAGAAAGAAAAAAGAAGAGAAGAAAGAAGGGAGGGAGGGAGGAGAGAGACAGAGACAGAGAGAGAGAGACAGACAGAGAGAGACAGAGAGAGAGAGAGAGAGAGAGAGAGAGAGAGAGAGAGAGAGAGAGAGAGAGAGAGAGAGAGAGAGAGAGACTTAACTTGCATCTTCGCTGTCTTGCTGGCTTTTTGTACTGAAGATTATACCTAAAGCCCTGAGGATGCTAAGCAAGTGGTTCTCTGCTCCTGAGAAAATCCCAGCCTGAGGACTTTCCTTAGTGTAGATACAAAGCAATGGGCTTGACTGTAACATTTTCATGCATGGTTTTATGAACTTTGGTCATATTAACTCCTTTGGAGATATTTAACATTCAAACTACAGAAGATTTACATTCAGAAAACGTAAAGCAACCAAACAAAAACACTTATTTTTATTTAAAATAGATTCTTCTCTCATACAATACATCTGACCCCAGTTTCCCTCCATACCTCCTAGTTCCCCACCCCAACCCCCTCTCTGCCTCCAGATCCACTCCCTCTCTGTTTTCCTTCAGTAAAATAGCAGGCCTCCAAGAGACAACAACCAAACATGACAAGATATAATAAGACAAGATTAAATCCCATATATCAAGGGATAAGGCTACCCAATAGGAGGAAAGGGGTCCCAAGAGCAGGCAAAAGAGTCAGAGACACCTCTGCTTCCACTATTGTGAGTTCCACAAAAACACCAAGCTAGCAGGCATAACATATACACAGAGGACCTGGTGCAGACCCACACAGGTCCCATGCTTGCTGCTTCAGTCTCTGTGAGCCCGTGTGAGCCCTGCTTAGTTGACTCAGTGGGCCCTGTTCTCTTGGTGTCCTTCATCCCCTCTTAAGAAGTGTTACTGCAACACTTCTTACAACATCATTATAAAATGACAACTAGCCCATCTTAAAGACGGTCAGAGAGACTAGCAATGCTTGTCTCACATGTTTAAGACCTTGAGTCCAACCCCCAGCACCACTGGAAAAAAACACACAAAGATTATGAAGACATGTTTCCCAAGAAGGATAAGCAAGTGGCCGGTAAACACATGAAGACATGACCTGTCCCCAGGGAAATGCTAATATGTCACCTTGGTGGCCTCCTCCAGTCCACCTGCCTCCACTCATGATGGACTGCCTCTGGGTTTTGTTGGGCTGTAGAAACAGGAAGCAACAATGAGAGAGATGCTAAGGAGCTCCTGGTACTGCTTAGTGTAACTCATCCTGTGCAGCAACACAAGTAAGGTCAGAAAACCCAGCCAAGATCTAGCTTCATGTTGTAGAGACATGCTGGGGAACACTACTGTTCCTTTGAGGCTGGGAGAGCAGGAGGTGAGAGCCCTTGGATGGGAATCATTGACTCGGGAGCTATATAGCATCCCCGGGAATCTCAGGAATGTTTCCTACCCTGCTACACGGTCTGGACTTTAATATACTCTCCACCTAAATGCCAAAGCATCCGTTCACATTCAGCAGGCTCTCAAGCAAAGTCCTTAATAAGCTTTGGGTGTTAATACCCAGTGCAATAAATGAGACACGGTCACATGAGGTGTTGAGAATGGGAAAGTTCAGCCTTTCCAGGCACCAACAGCATGACACAGCTGTGGGGACCAGGGCCCGGGACTTGTTCCCATGGTTCACTCTGCTTACACCAAATGCATGTTCCCTAAGTTCGTCTTCCTGAGCTAAAATCAAGGAATCAGCAGGGCCAATTCCCTTCCTCTCTTTCCTGCCTTCTAGAGGACCCTCCACTGAGGACACCTCCTACCCAGGACCTCAGTCAGTCACATCGGTAATGACCCCACCATAGTGTTCATGTGTTCCTGCCTGCCCTCTCCTAATTCACACCTTCACTTCTGTTCCAGTTCCGTGTCTGCTACTGCCACAAAATATCTTAACAGAAAGCAATTTGGGCAGAGGGGTTAATTTGGCTTATACTGCTAGGTTACAGTCCGTCACAGCAGGGGCGTGAGGGTAGCCAGGGTCTGAACCAGCTAGTCACATCCAGGCAAGAGCAGCGAGTACATGCAGGCTGCTTGCTTGTATGTGGTCAGGTCCTTCTCCAATCTGCAATTCGGTGTCGGGTCCAAAAGAAACCTGGGTCAGATCGCTAAGTCTGGTGCCTGTTAGCACACCAGAGCACCTGCTGACCCCCAGGCACTCTCAGCATTGCAAGTGCCTGTTACAGAGTCCGTCCTTGCTCCTCTCCGCTCTTCTTGCCCTGCCCCTTACCCTAACTCCTCCATCTCATGGGGTTTCCTTCCCCCAGCTTCTCATTCCTATATAGCCCTGCCATTTCAGTCATTCACTCCTCTCTACTCTTGGCTTTCTCTTGGCACGCTCTCTCTCTCTCTCTCTCTGTCTCTGTCTCTCTCTGTTTCTCTCTCTCTTTCTCTCTCCCTCCGTCCCTCCCTCTGTGTGTATGTCTGTGCTCACTCATGTGTCTGTGGTGTGTTTTGGACCCCTCTCTCTTGGTCTTTCTCAACACCTATCCCACACAATGGCCAAGTTCACTCGATTGGCCATGTTCAGTCTACTACTTTCTCTCCCTGCTCTGGAATCTTCCATATGCCTCTGGCTGTCCTCTCCCTCAAATTTATAATAAAAACCTTCCCCGCAACCATACCTTGGAGTGGTCATGTCCTCCCTTTATACATCTAGTGCCTAAACCCCCACTTTATACAATCAGGACCTCCTTCCCAGGGACTGGGGACTGGGTCTCCCACATCAATTAATTAAAACCACCCACAGACATGCCTACCGCCAATGCAGTGTAAACAGTCCCTCACTGACATGATTTTCCTAGGTGTTGTTTTTTTATTTGTGTCTATCTCACAGTTTAAGTTAACCATCACAATCCTAACCCCAGTGGGATGGGATGTAAAGCAGAACCTTCAGGAAGTAATGAAGCTACTAAGGCAGAGCCCTCATCAATAGGCTCAGTGCCTTTCTATAAGAACCCTGAGAGCTTTTTGTCCATCCTACAGTTGAGAGGACAACGACAGTATTTGTGAAGTAGTTGAGGATCACCAGACATGATGGTCTGGAAGGCCCAGCCTCAGCACTGGGAGCAATGCATGCCTATTGCTGGTAAACTAGCCAGCCTACCATGTTTCATTACAGCAGAGGAACAGACTAACATACTCTTCCACTGCTTAAGGGAACACTCACAGTTCTGCAGATCATGGTGGGGACATATTAGAAGCCAGCACTGAACCACTCAGTCAGCCACCAGAGGTCTCAATAAGGAAGCCAGAGACAGAGCCATGCAAAGAAGGCGCCCTGAACCAAGGGGCTCTGAAATAAGGGTTGCATGTAGTCTTGGAAGCTGTAATGCCTAAGGAAAGCATGTTCCTCTCAGAGCCGCTGTGAAACACTAACCCCAGAACTGTAAGAGGATAAATGTGCATTGTTCCAAGCCACTAGACATGAGGCTATTTGCTACACGGCTCTGAGGACACAGCCTTCCTATAGTGGCCACTGGACTATAAGGCAAGAACTAAGAGAGAGGTCAGAGAAAGTCAGGGTAGGGTCCTGGGATCCTAGGTGACCAAAGTCACCTAAGAACTCTTGAGCAGGTCCCCCAGGGAGTGATCAGGCATCGTGGCATCTGGAAGCAACTCATCTGGGTCTCAGCCAGGGCATTGACTCTGCAGCGCAGAAGCATGGACTCCTCAAGGCTTTGGATAGTGCACTTCCAACATCAGTTAGGCTGCAAATAGCCTTGAGTCACACGTAAGGTGGTGTAAGCCTTGGATCCCTTGGCTAATAGACCCCCTTGAGGAAGCAAAGCCCAAACATCACAGACGTAGGAAACCCACACAGGACCTGGTGCTTCTCTTAGAGCCCGGGTGGAGGTAGAGGGTCCCGGGGTGTTCCAGAGACCTTTCACACTGTCTCAGCAGTCCATTCAGAACTCAGCCTGCTAGAGACTGCAGAACAAGGAAGAATTATGACTTGTGACCTTGGAAATCGAGAGGCAGCCTGGGCTCCCCAACCCCCACCCCCAGGAGACACTGGGGTGGGAAGTTCAGCACAGATTTCAACTGCGAAGACCAAGGTGATTTAAAAGGTAAAATATTGGCGTTTGTGTCGGATTTCTGCGCCTTCCCCCTCTGGATCCTGGCTGCCCCCGCTTCCCACACCACACACTCCCTTAGCAGCCTGCTTGATGACAGCTAGCTTTGGGGGCTCATGTCTGCAGGTCGGAGCTCCGGCAACCCTCCTGCTCTCTGGGGCCCCGTGGAACCTTTCCTCGGGCTGGATTAGATGTACAGGCCACCCAAGGGTGGTAACGCTCCTCCCAACTGCGGTCTAGGTGCACACAGGGCCCAGTATACACACTGCTCCATTGTGCAACTATCCTGCCTGGCCAGAGGCCAGTCTTGCCCTGGCTATTCCACGGTTTCCAAATCCCACCATTTATGAATTGGGTTTGGTAGCTCTAGTTGATGATGTATTTAATTTTGCCACTATATTGAGTCTGCACGGACTGAAAGGAAAACACACAGACCTGCAACAATGCCTGGCCAGGCGCCCCGGGCACAGGTGTTTCTCATCTGCATTCCCTCCTGCTCTGCAAACGGCATTTTGCTCAATCCCTTCCTCCAGGGTGAGCTATGCAGAGGCAGGTTCTTTTAAACAACTTTGTGATAACTCTGTGCTCTCTATTCCCACAGCAGAGGACAAGCAAAACCCCAGGAGTCGGCTACCCAGGGAGGAAATTTACACCTAAACTCACCCATCCTTGGGAAGGGACAGAATGGCACCATAAGAGGGTGGCCAAGTAATTCTACAAGCTTGGGAAAGTTGCCTTTCTATGGTACCTGGAATGGGGCGTGGCTCAGCAGGTCAAGGGCAGAAATGTGTTGTGAAGGGCCTCAAGGTCCCCCTTGTCTGAAGCCTGAGGCCCTATGTTTGGTGGTCATAGCCCTACTGTCACCACCTTGAGATCATAAAGACAGTGGCGATGCAGCTACTCATCACCCATAGCAAGCCCCCCATGCACACAGCCCACCTGTAGCTCCTGCGTGGGAGAGCCAGGGCCAGGTGGACGGAGGTTGAAGTCGAGGACATGCCTCCCCACCTGTCACCTGTACCAAGTCACAGAGTGGGCCTGGGTTTCTGTAAGAGTCTGTATCTGCATGCCATTAAATAGGAATTTTTAAATACCACGAGGATAACAGTCAGGAGAAAAGCCACAGGAAAAGCTATTCCTGCTTCTTGAAGTAAGAGCAATGTGTGTCTACTTTGCACTACACCAACAACCTGGATTCACCTGGGTCCCAACACCCCCCACCCACCCCTCAGTCACACACACACACACACACACACACACACACACACACACACACACACACACACTAGCAAAGCCTACTGGTGCAGGCCAGCAGTCTCATCTACTCAGGAAGCTAAAACAGTAAGACTGAAAGTTCAATACCTGTTTGGGTTACACAGCAAGTTCAAAGCCAACCTGGGCAAGTTAGGGAGCTCCTGTCTCAAAAGGAAAAGTACAAAAGAGTTCAGTGCAAAGCACCAGTTGAGCCAGCAAAGGAGTTCTAGGCTCAATCGCAGAATGGCTTTGGGTTTGTTTGTTTGTTTGTTTTTAATGAACCTCTATTAGGGATGGAGACAGGACATAAGGAACCAGACAGGGAGATGCTACATCCAGCTCACGAGCCCTCACGGAACGGAGTGGCTGGAGAACCAGGCCAGGTTGTCTGGCAGAGCAAAATGACTGTAAAGGCTGTGTACACAGGAGTCTCTTTGCAGATGAGGTCTACAGCTGTTCCTGCACCCAGACATCCTTAAGGGACCAATGGGCCCCCAGGGGAAGCTGAGGAACTCCACAGGACATTCTCATATGAGTCACACGCTAGGAAGCTTCAGGAAAATATGTAGAATTTTTAAAGGCTTCTCAGAATCAGTAACAGGTTTTGTATTCTATTCTTTAACATTTCTAATATGTATTAATTTTTCAACAGTGACTAAACAGTGCAACGACTACAAATAAAAGTCAATCCCTCTCTGTGTATGTAAAAGAGGCAGAATGCATGTACACGGCATTGATTCACTCACATTTTGAAGGCTGTCTGGCTGTCCCAGCATGCTGGGTGGGTATCTCACTGGACAGCAGATCCAAGTGCTCATGCTGTATCTCTTAGACCGCCTGTGTACCTCTAAGCCACTGTTGAGGTGTATTAAAGGCTAGACGCGTGGAAGGGACACCCCAGGACACAGGGACATCTCCAAGAAAGCATGGGAAGGGGTGGGAGTCTCATGCCACCACCCCATGAGCCCTCGCGTGGCCCTTCTCTGAGTCACACAGCACTGTCTCTCATCTTCTGGGTGTTCCATGAGCTGAAATGGGACAGATGAAAAAGCTGCGTGTGACATTACAGGTGACAGTCCTGATTCCTGGCTCTGCCAACCAAACTGCTACATAACCACAGAAGCGTGCCTTTGCCTTTCTATTCCTAGAAGATAAGTGCTAGACTCCCCGTTGTAGTGATACCTTGTTTATACTCTAACAAATAAAGCTTGCCTGAAGCTATACCCCATGGAGGCAATGACATGAGCACCTGGCTGGGGACCAACCACAGTAAGACCCCAGATACAATCTGCTACTTCCTGTACACCTGTGTACACACACATAAATGCACAGATACACAGGTGTCCTGGCTAGATTTATGTCAACTTGGCACAAGCTAGAGTCATTAGAGAGGAGGGAACCTCAATTGAGAAAAAACTTCAATAAGATCAGGCTATAGAAAGGCAAGCCTCCAGGGCATTAATTAGTGATTGATGTGTGAGGGCCCAGCCTATTGTGGATGATGCCATCCCTGGGATGGTGTTCCTGGGTTCTGTAAGAAAGGCTGAGCAAACCTTGAGGAGCAAGCCAGTAAGCAGCATCCCTCCAAGGCCTCTGCATCAGCTCCTGCCTCCAGGCTCCTGCCATGCTTGAGTTCCTGCCTGAACTTCCTACAGTAATTGACTGTTACCTGGAAACATAAGATAAAATAAATCCTTTCATCTCCAGGTTGCTTTCTTCATGGTTTTCACCCCAGCAATAGAATCCCTAAGACAGCAGATGTGCATACAGACATATCCACACGCACAGACACTCACACCACCTCCCAGGAAGCATAGACCATACTCACCCCATGTCCGTTTTCCTTACAAAGCCCAGACTGGGTCCTTGTACATCATGAGAAATAGATGCTTAATAGATAAATGCATGATGCCCTTTTTACACATTTGTTTTGCATTTCTGTAAGCCCAGGTAGTCCTACTCTTGTCCTGTATGGCAAGTTCCCCGTGGAGCTATGAAATTCAAATCATGCAGTTTCTTTTTTTCATTCATGTAACCCAGGCTGACGTGAACTCACTATGTAGTTGAGGATGGCTTTGAACTTCAGGTCCCCCCCTACCTTCTCTTCCTGGGTGCAGGAATTATAGACCTGCACAACCACATCCAGTTTATGGAGTGCTGGGGATAGAACCCAGGGCTTTGCGGGTGAGAGGTAAAGAGTCTAACTGAGCTACATCACCAGCCCTACTCTGGTTCATTTTTAATGTCCTCTGACTCATAGCCTGGGGCTAGAAGCTTCAATGATGATCCGTCTCACAACTCAAGCTTGGGGAGGGCAGTGGGGACGGGACATGAGCACACGCCCTTCAACACCCCCGTTTATATGGTGTTCTGCACAGTATTCTCCATCTTCCTGGTCAATAAACAAAGCAAAACAACAGCAAGAATTGGCTTGAGGCTGGGGAGATGTGTGCTTGCCGCCCAGCATGAGGATGAGGTTGGTACTCAGCACCCAAGTAAAAGCGCTAGAAATGCCTGGTGGGTGTGGTGATGGTGCCTGAAATCCTAGCACTGGGGAGGCAGAGACAGGAGGATCCCTGAGCAGTATAGCCTGCTCAGCCAATTGGCCAGTTCCAGGCTAGTGAAAGACCTTGTCACTAAAGAAAGAAAGAATGATCAAATGGACAAGCAGACTGGAACACTCAAACAAACATACGTGCACAGGCACCACACACACACACACACACACACACACACACACACACACAGCCATGCACCTGTACACATGTGTAAACACAGAAACAAAAAGTGAGATCAACATCAAGGTGTTTTTTTTTCTCTGACAGGGCACTGATGATCCACATGTCTGTCACCTACAACCAGTTCGAAGACATTTCAGCCACCATCAGCATCCCCTCTAAACTCCTGGCCAGAGCCAGTCCTGAACAAAAATCGCCACTTAAGGACCCTGAGAACGTCCACTTGGCAGGCAGCTTTGCTGTCACAGAGCCCTTTGTGTTCTGTCATAGTTAGGCTTGGGGGAGAGAAAATGCATTTGCCAAAGGGTTGTTATCACCTTCTCCGTGATTCATGCGAAGGCTCCCCTCCTGGGAAGGGTGTTTTATTATGACTTCTCAGCTCTAGCTCCTTCTTACCCACTGTGAGCTGGGCTACATTCCTGCAATCCTGGGCTGTTCATAAAACACAAACAGCCATTCAACAGGCCTGGCCTCTGGAGGATGCATGACTCCCACCTACCCCAGCTACCTCAGCCTCTTGCCCTAGATGAGCTGGCCAGAAACCTGTGAGGAGCTTGAGCTGAGGTGCCCTCTCCATCCAGGCCATGATTATCTTCTACAGTCCTCTCAGGCCTTGGAAAGAAAGACATGGCCACCCCCACTCCCAGTACTAAGACCCATGGGATGGAGACAATGGGATGGACCAGTGACCAGGTCCCCCATCCTCTGCATCCTGTCCAACCCATACTCACTCTTTTATTGGCTGTATGCTCAGTCATCCCCAAGAAGAGCCAAATAGGGAAACGCCAAAAGAAGTTAGCAGGTTTATAAGCAAGTGGGTTTTTGCCAGAGAAAGCCCGTGTGCAGAGAACACAGTACATTGTGGTTCTTTCCTCGTTGTGGAGACAAAGTACCTGCCTGAGAAATTTAAGGGTTTGTTTCCACTCACTGTGTGAGGGTATCATTCATCGTGGTGGGGAAGGCATGACAACAGGTGTGAGAGGCAGCTGGTCACATTGCATCCACAGTCACGAGGTCACATTGCATCCACAGTCACGAGATGTGAGAGGCAGCTGGTCACATTGCATCCACAGTCACGAGGCAGAGGCGGTGGATGCTGGCAGGGAGATAACGTCAAGGTAGTACATGAAATGCACAGTCTGTCAGGACCAGCACTCCCCTGAGCGATAAATAAACATAATGAGGGCACCTGTGGACCCCAAGTGCATCACCATTTGTTAGAGCCAAATGTCACTAGTCATCCTTGTAACAAACTAGGAGAAAAGAACCCATCTCTTCACACAATTAGGAAGCCCCGCCCCAACCCCCACTTAATAGAAGAAGCCTGGATAGGTTAGGATTGGAGATTCCCTGACATTATAGGATCCAGTGGAATTTTCAGAACAGAGGGAGCCAAGGACAATAACACAGGAACTCAATTGTGAGGATATAAGAACCTAAGGCCTAAGGTATAGGGAATGAAGGACAGAACACGGGGACCAAGGACAGAACACAGAGACCAAGGACAGAGCACGGGGACCAAGCACAGAACACAGAGACCAAGGAGAGAACACAGAGACCAAGGAGAGAACACAGAGACCAAGGACAGAACACGGGGACCAAGGACAGAACACGGGGACCAAGGACAGAACACAGAGATCAAGCACAGAACACGGGGACCAAGGACAGAACACGGGGACCAAGGACAGAACACGGGGACCAAGGACAGAACACAGAGATCAAGCACAGAACACGGGGACCAAGGACAGAACACGGGGACCAAGAACAGAACACAAGGACCAAGCACAGAACACAAGGACCAAGCACAGAACACGGGGACCAAGGACAGAACACGGAGACCAAGGACAGAACACGGGGACCAAGCACAGAACACAAGGACCAAGCACAGAACACGGGGACCAAGGACAGAACACGGAGACCAAGGACAGAACACGGGGACCAAGGACA